CATGGTAAAGGAACCAATCCCACATTTATAACATTGTTCCTATGGGAAACTTGGTTCTGACTTATGATGTTTCGACTTAAGATGCAGCTTTCAGGAACTAAGTGCGTTGTAAGTCTGAGGACCACCTATATAAGTAACCCAGAAGCTTCAGAAGCTCTTGTGAAATGTTATTAATTACATACCAAGTTCAAAATTTGCATTGAAAACTTCATTTTACAACATGGAGGATAAGGCCAAAGATGGTAGCTTACACAGAAGACAGGGCAGAGTGGTACCTTATAAAGTAAGTAATCAAGAAAGGCAGAAACAACAACAGACTTTGTCAGATGCTATGACTGGACTTGCAGGGAGAAGGGGTTCTAGGCAGAAAGCAGTAATTTAAATACAAAGGATAGAAAAGGAGAGAAGAAAGGAAAGGAGATATTCCTGATAGAACCAAGGGGATAAACAAAGCAATAAAACCATAGGGAAACAGGGGTATAGAAGCTAGCCCAGGTGAGGCATGAGAATCCATAGTTCCTGTTGAGACCATCCTCAACAAAACCTAGCCTGTGGATGATTTCTTGATCTGCAGTTTTGTGTTCCAGATGGTTTTCAAAGTTTTGTCATTTAAGAACAGCTACTTTGAGTGATGAAATATCCAGGAAAGTTGAAAGTGTGCTGTCACAGGTGTGACTTTTTGGTGTGGGGAAGGAGGGGGCAGGAGGAGAAGATGAAGCTAGTAAATGTGTAAGACATAAACAAGAATGACTATATCCTATTTTGCTTTAGAAGAAGGAGCTACATTTAGGCACAGTTTGTGACTCTGTTGCCCTCATCTCTCTGCTGTATTAAAACTGTGCCAGGCATATGCCTTGCAGAAGAGTGAGAGGGTGGTGCTGCTGCCAAGGGACCCTTTTACCTTTTAGCCCACTTGCTCAGGGAGCAGAGACCTAGTTTCTTGAACTCCCCTCTTAACCAAGAGGTGGCTTAAACCCAAATTTGCTTGTTTCTTCCTCCCAACAAAGTACCCTAACCAGAGACCTCTCTGCCTGTCATCTTGAAGCAGATCAACCACACCTATTAATATATATAAAATAAAGTGTTGGCCCCATTAAGAGTAAGGATGGGGCTAGAACCCAGAGCTATTTCTTTGCCAGGCTAACATCTATCTCTGCTTAGGCTTTTTCCTCCTGCCCCTACAGGTCTTTCTATTTGACTGCTCAGTGGTTAGCTTCAAGATGAGAAGTGGAGGAAGGCCTAAGTAGTGTGGAGCTAGTGGCCTAGTAATTAGCTCATTATGTTAGAAAATAGAAGATACTGGTTCCACTATCCTCCCTGAGTAAGTACCCAAATCATTTCTATTGGTCTAAAAGGTAGGAGAGCCTTTTCCTCCTGTGACTTTTCTGTCAGTGAAATTTGGGACTTATCTGGCCTTATGTGCAGGTGATTCTGTTTTGCCACAGCTACTTGACTGGAGTGCAGCCCTACTGAGCCTGCTTAGTGTGTTTTTGTGTGAGCAATACTGTACATGACTACCAAAACTGCAGGTACATGGCTGCATACTTCCCACTTGGGTGCATGAAGTGAAACAGAATCTTGCCCAAATTATACTTCAGCCAGAAATAAATTTACTGTATGTTTACCTCTACATACTGCTGATAATGGCTCTGGAAACTTCTTAGTGTAATTTCTATGGATCCAGCTTAGCTCCTCTTTCTGGTGCATGGTATTACCAGTGAATTTCAGATATTTCAGTCCCTACTCTATATCACTTATAGCCATGTTTGTAGATTACAAAGTCATATTACCCATACATCAAAGACATCAGATTCTGGCTTATAGTTTGATATGGTATAATAAACTTTTATTATGGGTAGAACAAATGTAGGGGGAAGATTTAATAACTTGTTTAATTTGGAAAGGGGAAACAAGATGCTTATTATAGGTTAGGAGTCAAGGTCATAATAACTGGTCTGTTAAGCACAGTGTTCTTTTAAAAAAGTTTTAAATGCACTGCAAGTGCTCTCCTTAACATAGTAAAATGCCATTCCTCAACTCCTAATTGAAGTAAAGCTGCAGTAAATGAAAGCTTTGATTATTATAAATATTACTTTGATATGTAAAATGTGTTGTCTCACAGGGTAAGGAGTTAAAAAAAAGAAAATCTTTGCTATTACTTAAAAGCTAAAACAACATTGGTGCAAAGGCCTTTGATTGATTTTTCATGTAGGTATCTAGATGAATTGATTGCACCAGGCATTCATATTTAAAACTTCTTCCAGAAAGACAAACTAATTATCATCACTCAGAATTGAAGCTTCATAAAATGTGAATGGAAAACTATTGTCATTCTCTGGCCTTACAGATTTTTGCACAGCAAATATAGGGACACTTTTCATCTTAATGCTTGCAACTCTTGCAGGATAAATTGTTTTGATTTACTAAAAAGCTCAGTGTTAAAAATGGTGTTGGGACATTCCACAAAAGTATTGAGCATCTGCCTCCTACATCACAACAGAGCCAAAGTGAAATATGGACAGCGTGATTTTCATATTATATTAACAGAGACCTGGGTAAGCTTTCCTGTTGCAACAAGATACAGCGCATAAGTTTCACATCCAGAATCATCATCTTTAGGTGTACAGAATTTGAATGGTGAATCTTGTTTAATTGTGCTGGGTGCATCTACACATGCAGTTAGTACATAACAATAAACTCCAGTGCAGTTTGTGCTGGAGTTTATTTTTCCAGGGTGCAAAGTTTACACGTGATCCTGGGATCATAGCGCATTGAGTTGGGGTGGAGAAGCTTGGACTGGTATGGGACCCAGGGAGATCAGCCCACCAACCCGGGGCTGCTCTGCCCCAGCTCAACATGCTGTAGAGGGACTTGCTGGGGCACAAGGGTGCTACAGTCAAAGGCTAGCAAGCAGGCAGACCCTACATTGTAGCATCCTTGTGCACCAGGCAGCCCCAATCACTATCTACATACGCATTTTGGCACATGTAACTACTCTGCCTTAGGATAGCACTTGCCCTGGACAGTACTATCCTATAGTGGAGTTAAGTAATTTACTGAGCCCTAATACAGCCCCATGTGTAGACAGTGACACTTTACTGTGGAGCTAATTAGTCAGCTCCTCAGCAAAGTGCATGTATAGATGCACCCACAGGGCAGGTCCAGATGAGCATGCATGTGCATTTCCTTGAGGACAAACAGCAGTGGCACATAATTGTACTGCGGCTACTTGTCCCCAAGGAAAGCCTCTGCATGAGTGCTCTGGCATGTGGCAAATTGCCCTGCATAGGGTAGGAGAGACTGGGGTCAGCACCTGGGTTGACTCCAGCAACCTTACCTGGGATCCTGGGGGCCCACTGGGGTTCCAGCAGTGGTGATCTGGGTGGTCATAGCCTGGCTGGCAGCTGGAGTGTGGGTCTGACTGGTCAGGCTCTGGTTTTAGGCAGTGCATGCTGCCACCATGTGTCCTGCCTTGCTTTTTTCTGCTGTGGTTTTTTTTTGACACCGGGATCTCAAGGTATTAGAAAAAAACCACTGAGCTGCAAATTAATAGACCAGGGAACATGTGTACGTGCAGTTTGGGGCACTGCAGATGGGTCTGCAGCACCACAAACTGCACGTGCATGCTCATCTGGAAGCACCCACAGGGTCTAACTTGCCACTGAAAGACTGAGCACTGAAGCTGACAAACCCAGAAAACTAGCAATGATTATAAAAACATATACCAGAACCTAGCATCTTACAGCCGCTTGTCTTGCATACAGTGTACTACATTTAAGCTTAAATGTTCCAAATGAGGAAATGTAAAATACTAGAACAGACCAGCTAAAGAGGAACACATTGCTTGACATATAAGTGTATTAGTAAGCAGATACTGCAACTACATACTTCTGTTCAGTACGTATTCAAATTGTGATGTATTTCAGTATGTAAAGCTGGATCTGTTGCCATGAAATAGTGGTTCTTATAATTAGTAAATCCAAAAATGGGGTAAGAAGATGTGCCATCTCCTCCCCCCCCACCTTACTTCGGCTGTACGATGCATGCACAGAGAGCTCTGAGCTCACTGCCTGGTCAGCGCAGGCTCCTGCTGAGGTGCCGTATTACAAGTATGCTCATCAGCTGATTGGGCTGGGGTCTGTCTGGAGCCCCTGCTTTTGCACAGCTACAGAGTCCAGTGGGTTAATGTTGCTGCTGTTTGCCCTTTCTCTCTCTCCCTCTCCTTACTGAATTCAGTAGTAGGAGAAGGGAGGGGATGAGTGGCAGCAGCGGTACTTACACTGTGGGCTCCAGTGAGGGATCTTGGCAGAACCTGTGCTAAGAGCTCACATGTAAGACATCCAAAGGCGGCATGCCTGTGCCACTGTATACCCCTCTGTCTGGATTCACTCTTGGCTCTTATATAGGGCTAGAGAGGGATATAACATTGTGGTGGGGTGTTTTTTTCAGCTACACAGAACCAGAACTGCAAAAAAGTTGAGTGCGTATATGTGTACTTGGGCAAGAACTTTGTAGCTGTCCTAAAATAGCAACAAAAGTGTGCCTTTACTTTTTTTTCAAGCTTAATAATAGTATGTCTTAGTTTGGAGCTTTACTGTTGTACAAGATGGAATAGTGGAATTTCATGTCTTGACATCTGTTTATGAAGGCACTCATAAAACAGAGGCACTATAAACAGACTTAGTAGAATTAATCTTCCAAGGAAGGACCTGAGGGTACAGTGTGCTTTTAGATAGATTGGGTAGCAATGGGTCAGCAGAACAGATGGGTCTACAAATGGAGCAGACATTTTCCACAGGCACTTCAAGAGTGCTCACTTATATATACAGTTGTTTAATTAACACCACTTTATGAATCAAAGGTCTAGAATACTCCCATTGAACTCACTGAGCGTGTGAAGAGGGTTTGCAGGATCAGGCTCCCAAAGGATCTGGATTCACTATCTTGCTTCAGCTTAATATATTACTTGATATTTTTAAGTATGGGTGAGGATGGCAGTTATCAGAGCAGCAAGCAGCTCACAGTTTCAGCCCTGGATATTTAGCTTTATCTCACTTCATGAGCTTCCCAATCAATTTGTTCAGCATGCAACTTCAGCCCAACAAAGAACACCCACAATTTTGCACAAAATATATTTTGTTCACAGAGGAATAGCAAATTACTAAGGGAAAGTAGTATCATTAAAATATCTGTTACTAGGGGAAGATGCAATTTTAAGTCTAACAGGAAATGGATTAGGTAAGATTTCACTAAAACAAGGTTCCTTATCAAACCAAAAAGTATCCTATTGCCTTTCCATGCTATTCTGAGCAAGCTGCATTTTGCCCAGTACTTCTATTCTGCAGAAGTCAAACACAAACTATTTTTCTATATCTAGCTTTCAGTCTATTAACATTTCATACTTAGCCTATGCTTTAATGAAACCAGAAAATAATATTTTGAAAAGCTACATTTAATTTTTTGAGATATTCATTCAATTAAAAATACTCTGCAGGCACTGAGAAGCAGTGATGAGATGCATTAGTATTTTGAAGAACATAACTAATTTACTCATATTTGAAGTTGCCAGGGTATTAGTCCTTGGGTTTTTTTGTTTTGTTTTATTTTTTTACAGGATTTTAGTTTTACTTCCATCTGAGAATACAAAGGACTGATCTTCAAGCTTCTACTGTCCACTGTGTTCAAATGCATATGAGAAAGATGCATACATTTTGGAATAAGTTTAATTGGTCTCACAAAAGAGAAAAAAGTTGCCTTTTATGGTTGTAGATATGCTTTACTTCAAAATGTGCTATCCTGCTTTTGTCTTAATAATTTTTTATCAGTCAAAGGGCACTGAAAACTGATTTCTATTGGATTTTCAGTGAGTTTTGCCTGTTTAGTAATTAGGTTAGTAACTGTGTTTGTCAAAAAGTAATAGCTGGACACTGTAAAAAGATTTAAAAAGTTGCAAAATAAATAGTTTAAGAATTCAATATGTGAAACATTCCAGAATTCAAAATGTTTTTCCAGGTTAAAATCTACTGGGCATCTGGGGGGAAAAAACACTCACTTCCCCTGCCAAAATCCCTAACCTTTGTCATATTCCTTAACTGCTTTGATTTAAATCCACTACAGCCACTTAAGCTGCCGTATAGCTCTATACAGAACAACATTTTTAGTCCCTAATTCACACTCAGTGGCAATCTTCTATAGGTAAGGACTGCCAGATTGAGCTTTGTGGAAATACAACCTCATCTTTTGCCTGAAAATAATTTGAACGGGGGGATGTAAAAAACCCCAAGAAAACATGGGTGAACTTTGTATTAAATCACAATCTGCAAAAAATCACATATCCCTAGTGTTATTAAATAGTGAACTTACTCATACCTATCAACTATAGCCTGCTACAACAACATGTAGAAGCAGAAGTCTTGCCCAGTTTCAAGTAAACTATTTTAGAAATCAGTTACCACCGTGTTTCCAGTCAAAACATGACAGTTAAAGGCTTTAAAATGCTTTAAAAGTTCTACTTGCAGCCATCTCAGAGATTGGTAACAGATCTGAGTATTCTTGTAAATCAGCTTTTTCACCTGAAATTAAAACCAATATAGGTAGGAAGGGCCTAAGCTCATTAATCCCAGAGCTTTACAGGAGAAGGGAACTTCCATGGCTTGACAGGACTGGAGGAACAGTCTTTTTCTATGATGATTTTTCCAAGCAACTGTGGAGGCTTCAGCACAATTGGGTACCTTGGGTTGTTCTTGGTTCTAGTTGCACCACAGCTAGCCAGTACCAGTGGGCATTGCTTGAGCTTCAGGGACAGGGGAAAACTGAAGAGAGCATATGAATGAAGAACCCAAATCAAAGGTTTCACATTTGTTTCCTTGCCTGAATTCTGAATGTTTGTGTGTCAAGGGAGAATAATAAAGGTTTCATTATATAAGAAATAATAAACATTACTCACACTACATATTCAGCCGAATTTAGTAAGAATCCTGTACTTAAAATGACTAGCAGTAGGGAGAATTCAAGATTTTTCTTTTTCAGGCAATTACATCTTAAAATCCTTCATCAGTTTCTGTGATGATAAAAGGTAACGTGGCCTCTACAATTTGAGATGAAACTGACCATGCCCTCCTCTTCTGCATGTTCACCATTCCCAAGCAGTGTGAAAAGAGTAGTCTTCACCACTACAGGCAACATTTAAAGGTAGAGATATCCAACCCAGTAGACGAGGTTAAACAGCAAGAATGATGTAGGAAAAAAGACCCTTGAATAGGAGTCCAATTCTAAGATGTCTATGTGAATTCGTCCTCTCCGCCATGAACCTGATTTACATTCTTCGTAACAACAGAAAAAGCTCTGGCAGTCTTTCCCATCCAGACACTCATAGACACAAGCCTCTTCAAATTCTTGCCAGTACATGGCATTGTTCAATGTGATGACTGTAGGTGGTGGTCTCATATCAAGTACAGAATAGTTCTGGGGAAAGAAAACAGATTAAAAAGAAACCTTAGCTTATATAATCAGCACTTATAGACATGGTGAAAGAGAGGCTGAGCATATGCAACTGATGCTTTTGGACATTTAGATTTAGATATCAACTTATTTATTACTAACATATACCTTTGCAAATGTATTTTGACAGAGTGATTATGATATGCAGTGGCCACCTAAATGAATTTTCAGGGCATATTCTCCATGGGCATCTCAAGTGTTCACTTACACAATCAGTCTATCATCTGCAAAATCAATTGGTGCTTAAGTTATTTAAGAATGGTGTTAGAGCAGTAACTAGGATGTGGTCATCAAATACATGAGTCTACTAGCTATTTTACAGAGGACCCTCACATGCAGTCATTCCTGTTAGCAAACACATCAGTATTAATGTCACCTAAGCTTAGAATGATTAAGAGTAACCAGAAAAATACCAAACAAACAAATACATACATACATAAGTGGAATAAGACAGCCATTATCAGTGCCAACTTTCATATTAACATCACTAGACACTATGGCCACATACAGATGAGCGTGGCCATGCAGTATGTGGTATTGTAGACACACCTGCAGTGCCACATACTGCATATTCAGTTGTTCTCAACATTGCAACGGAGCAGCACTCAAGGTTTTTTTGACCTCTGAATATCCAGGGGACAAAAAACCCCACAGACAAAAAAAGAGCAGTGGCACCACTCAAAGCCAGATCCTGGCCATCTGGAGCTGCACTCCACTGCTGGCTAGGCTCCACGTGGCAGAAGCAATGCAGCTTCAGCCCCGTGAGGCCCCCAGGACCCCAGGTAAGGCTGCTGGGGCCAAGGTAATTTGCCATGTGCCAGAGGCTTATGGTATGGGTGCTCCCTGAGGAGAACTAGTGGCAGCGCAAGCTGCACCACTGCTAGTTGTCCCCAGGGAACCAAACATCCACACCATGTGTGGACATGGCCTATCTTATAGCATTTATTCTAATAATAAACACAGCCAGTGACCCCTCAACTTCAAGGCTCTACACAGTTCCACCTCCACCTTCACTCCAACTCTAGGCTCTTTCTTCTGTCTTTATATCGTCTGCTCTTTATATGCTGTCACACCATTTTCTTTTCATGTAGTTCCCTCACCTGTAACTGGCTCTTCCTCTCTGTGGACCAAACACCCTTCCCCTGCAAATTTTACCTCTTCTACAGAAATTAGTGGAAAGACTCATATCAACTTCATTGACCTTTCAATCAGACTCAAAAAGAATGTACCCAATTCTTGAGGTATAAAAAAAGGAAACAAGTTGCATGGTTTCACCTTGTTATAATGCTTTAGAAGAACATTGGCCCGGCTGTATGAGCATCTGTGGTCATCTGGCCAGGTGCCAGGGGATTGGAAACTGGCTAATGTGGTCCCAATTTTCAAGAAAGGAAGGAAGGAGGACCCAGGTAACTATAGGCCTGTAAGCCTCACCTCGGTGCTTGGGAAGATCAACGAGCACATCTGTGGGGGGCCAGCAGGGGAGATCATGATCGGGGCAATCAGCATGGGTTCATCACAGGCAAGTCCAACCTGGTTGCCTTTTATGACCAGGTGAGTAAATCCTTGGATGATGGTGTCACCGTGGATGCAGTCTTTCTAGACTTTAAGAAGGCCTTTGACACTGTCTCTCACCCCATCCTCATCAATAAATTAAGCGACTGTGGCATTGATGCCTACGCAGTTGGACGGGTAAAAAATTGGCTGACAGGGCGCACCCAGACAGTAGTAGTGGACGGGTTGTACTCAGTCTGGTGAGATGTGAGCAGTGGGGTACCCCAGGGCTCGGTCCTCGTGCCCGCACTGTTTAACATCTTCATCAGCGACTTGGACGAGCGGGAGGAAAGCACGCTGTCCAAGTTTGTTGATGACACTAAGATGTGGGGCGAGGTGGACACACTTGAAGGGACAGAGAGGCTGCAAATAGATTAAGACAGACTACAAAAGTGGGCAGACAAGAATAGGATGGGGTTCAACGTAGACAAATGCAGGGTGCTGCACCTTGGGAGAAGGAATCCACAGCATATATACAGGCTGGGGAGTTCCCCTCTTGAAAGCACAGAGGTGGAAAGGGATCTTGGAGTCATTATTGACTCCAAGATGAACATGAGCCGCCAATGCCAGACTGCAGCCAGCAAGGCCAGCCATACCTTGTCATGCATCCAAAGATGCATCTCAAGCCGGTCCAGAGAGGTGATACTCTTCTCTTTGCGACTTTTGTAAGGCCGCAGTTGGAGTACTGTGTTCATTACTGGGCACCGCACTTCAAGAGGGGTGTGGCCAGCCTGGAGAGGGTTCAGAGGAGGGCCACCTGCTTGGTGAGAGGGCATCAGGACAGGCCCTACAAGGAGAGACTGAGGAACATGAACCTGTTCAGCCTCAGCAAAAGGAGGCTGAGGGGGGACCTGGTGGCTGCTTACAAACTCCTCTGGGGAGATCAACAGCAAATAGGTAGAGCCCTTTTCTCCCTGGCACCACCTGGGGAGACGAGGAACACTGGTAATAAGCTGATGGAGAATAGGTTTAGGTTAGAGATCAGAAGGCA